AGACTCCATCTTAAAAAAAAAAAAAGAATTAGCTGGGTTGAAGAAATGGACTGCATAGTGGCTGCCCCCTTCAAATGGGGCACGTACCCTCTGTTCCCCCAAGGCCCTCCGTGCCTTCCTCACTTATTATTATTATTTTTTTTTTGAGACGGAGTTTCGCTCTTGTTACCCAGGCTGGAGTGCAATGGCGCGACCTCGGCTCACCGCAACCTCCGCCTCCTGGGCTCAGGCAATTCTCCTGTCTCAGCCTCCTGAGTAGCTGGGATTACAGGCACGCGCCACCATGCCCAGCTAGTTTTTTGTATTTTTAGTAGAGGCGGGGTTTCACCATGTTGACCAGGATGGTCTCGATCTCTCGACCTCGTGATCCACCCGCCTCAGCCTCCCAAAGTGCTGGGATTACAGGCTTGAGCCACCGCGCCCGGCCTTCCTCACTTATTTTTGCCATCCATCTGGCCCCTGGAGTCACTGGACTCTGCAAATCCCATCTCAGGATTTCAATTCCCCTTTCCCAGGCCCTTCCTATTGGGTGCCTCCCCACTTTCACTATGAAAGCAGTCCAGCCCAGCCTACTGTTTTCTCAGCCCTGTCATCAAAGCTCTGCAAGGCTGAGGTTTCCTGGCTCCACAAGCCTGGGGTCCTGCAAACCTGGCAGACCCTGCCTCTCTCCTTGCCCCCACCCATGAACCTCTGATGCAAGGCAGAGCGAGTATTGAGGGGTTCGCAGCCCCCAGACCCTATGCCCCGGGGGCTGCAGAGGCTGTCCACAGGCACTCAGGCTGCTTCCGTTTGTCCCTGGCCTGCAGACGTTCGGGCAGCGCCTGTACCAGCAGTACACCTGCTACACCGTGTTCTTCATCAGCATCGAGGTGTGCCAGATTGCCGACGTGCTCATCCGCAAGACACGCCGCCTCTCTGCCTTCCAGCAGGGCTTCTTCAGGTGTCCGTGGCTGGCCCCACTCCTGCTCTCCAGTCCCTGGTCCCAACTCCCATCAGATTCTGACTGTGGTTTGGAACAACCGGCAAACACCAGTGGGTGCTGATGCCAGATGCTGACATGCCCTAACATTTTTGTAACTGACCAATAGCTCCCCCCTCGGCCCCTCATTTCACTGAAGGGGTGGTGCTGAGAGGCCCGGGCCACTCCAGTGTTCAGTGTGTAGAACACCTCCCTGCTGCTGCTGACATCAGACCTACTTTGACCCACAGTATACTAATTTCCATCAGGTTCCCAGATCCTAATGGCCTGTCCCCTCCTGCCACCCCGCCCCCACAGGAATAAGATCCTGGTGATCGCCATCGTGTTCCAGGTCTGCATCGGCTGCTTCCTGTGCTACTGCCCCGGCATGCCCAACATCTTCAACTTCATGCCCATTCGGTGAGAGGCTGTGAGCGGCGAGCAGAGGGAGGGGGCTGCGGGACACAGGCCTGGGATGGCCTTCACCTTGCCATGTGCCTTCAGGTTCCAGTGGTGGCTGGTCCCCCTGCCCTATGGCATCCTCATCTTCGTCTATGACGAGATCCGGAAGCTTGGAGTTCGCTGTTGCCCAGGAAGTGAGTGTGGAGACTGGGGGCCTGGGGGCGGGGCACTGAAATGTTTTCAAGCAGCTGCACCCACCTTTGATCCTCAACACGTGGCCTCCAAGCCCTTGACCCTCCACAGCAACCACCACTGATCCATGACCCCTGAGCCCCTGGCTCTGCCTAAGTGGCACTCCCAGCACTGAGTCTCCTTGTTCCCTCTCTCTCCAAGGCTGGTGGGACCAAGAACTCTACTATTAGAGGGACGACTGCCTTCAAGCATCCCTGCAACTGCCATGGCAGGTGGGGGCAGGGCTCCTGGGACCCTCTGGACAGCCACCAAGACATCTGAGCTACCAAGAGTCCCAGCCCCACCAGTATATGCTTCTGCAGTCCACGGCACCCCAACCTTGGAGAGACCCTGCCCACTACCCTTCCCCATCCTCAAGGTTTGCACTTCCTGGAGCAGCAGTACCTGGGCACAGTCCTCTGAGCTGGCCTTGGGAAAGCCCCCACCTGTGGTGGCAGTGGGGCTCTGTCAGGGAGTACAGCTGGCTGCTCCTGGAGGATGTCTCTCCTTAGGACTCCAGTCCAGGCAGGAGGGCTGCCCAGGGGCCCTTCGTTAAAGGCACGCTTGTGTCCTGCGAGATGGTAATAAAACTAGCTCATGCTGACTGTGCGGTATTCAGTGCCAGGCACTGTCCTCAGCGTCTCTTTTTAGTGACTGTTATCTCCCACAGTCCTACACATGGGGGCTGTTTATTCAGGGCTGTACCTCCAGTGCCTAGAACACAGCCTGGCACATAGTAGGTGCTCAATAAACCTGCCTTGGGGGAAATGATTCCTATTTCTTTGCCCAGGGTCACGGCATCTAAAGGCAAGCTGGGCCATGACCACAGGCCCCCCCTACCACCTCTGGACTTTCTCTATTCTCAGCACCCTTCTCCCTCCTGGGGGCTCCTGGACACAAGGGGCCCAAGTCATTTGTACATCAAGCATCCCCTACCCCCCGCAGGTGTCTCCCCTCTGAGCCTACCTGTCCCAGCAGTGGCCAGTTCATGACCAACTCCTTGAGGTCCCCTCTTCACACCCTTCTCCCAGTTAACCCCTCTGACTGCTGGAGACACCTGTCCTCCCCATCCCCCCATCTCCCATCTCTGCTGCTCCTTTCCCAGTCCCCTCTGTTCACCTCTCTTCCTCTTTCTTTTCTCTCTTTTTATTTCTAAGAAAGGGGGTTTCACCATGTTGGCCAGGCTGGTCTTGGAACTCCTGACTTCATGATCCACTCATCTCGGCCTCTCAAAGTGCTCGGTTTACAGGCATGAGTCACCGCGCCTGGCCTCTTCTTCTTTCTTATGGCTTTCTCTGGCTAGGGCTTGGGCTTCTCCTTCCTTGTGATCACAGCCCCCCAGCCCCCTGTGGGTTCAGTTATCTCTGCAGTGAGACCCACATCTGTCCTGAGCTTCCCCCAGTATCCGAGGTGACCTACACTGGCCTCTGCATCTTCCCCCAAACCTGCACGCCTGCACTGACCCAATCTGATAGTCCCACTGTCCCATCAGTGTGGTCCCTTCTCCCTTGGAAACATGGTGAGCCCTGGGGCTTACAAACCCCAAACTCCTGTTATCCTGGAACTCTGTTCCTCCCTTATCTGTTGTCGCCCGGTAGCGCCCCCTGCTGGTAAATAAATACACACAGCCCACTGATCACCAACACCCGGGCTTAGCTTCTAGCCACTCCCTGCACCCCACCAGCCCTGCTCTGGTCCAGCCCTGGCCTCCTGGTCTCAGCCTCCCCACTCCAGACAACAGCCACGCAGAGCTCCCTAAAGCTGTATCTGACCCTGTCCTTCCTCTGCCTAGAGCTCTCCATGGTTCCCAAAGCCTTCTGTGATCTGACCCCTGCCAGCTTCTGTAGTCTCACAAGCCCCCTTGAACTCATTCCAACCAGTTGTTCCCTTGGGGAAAACAGGCTCCCCCTCTGACCTCAAGACCATCACCTCTGCCTTGCCCCAGTCACTCATTCTTTAGGTCTCAGCTCACATGTGCTCTGCTCAGGGGAGCCCACACTGCTTCCACGGCAGGTCAGGCGGCTCCTGTGGGTCCCCATAAGCCAGGTGTTTCCCCATGATAACTCCAATCACCTGCAGCCTGACTCACCACAGTCCTGCCGCCTAGGCTTCACTGTCCTCTGCCAACTCAGCCCTAACCACTCCCTGAACCCCATGTAAGTGGGAATTATTCCAGTTGGTAATTTCTGCAACTGACACTTGTCTCAAAATGTGTAAAGAGCTATGTGGGGTATGGAAGTGCGGGAGAAAGTGACCTTGTCACAAGTCCACCTAGATAGACTGCCCCATCTACTTCCTTTCCACATCAATGTTAAGGCGATCAATCATTTCCAGCTCCCACGAGACTCCTGGACCCTGTCTTTATTCCAAACCTTGAGGAAGAGTGGGCCCAGATGGCGGCAGCCCTGCCTCAGGGCAAATGCTCCCTCTGGAAACACCGAGATGGTCCTAGCGAGCTTTCCTAGGCGCAAGCTTAAATAATATGTGGAACCTCAACAGCCTGGTGGAGGAGGAGGGGCAACTGCCCTATCCTGCTCCCCAGGGCACCCCACTGAAACACCAGGGCTGGGGAGCACCTTCCTGAGTGGGAGGGTGTATATCAAAGTGGGGCTTAAACATGACATTCAAAGCTTCTGACACATCCCCCTCAGACAGAGGTGGGGAATGGGGCAGGGAGCTGGCTTTAGTGGACCAAGGAAGGCTGAGGGCATGGGGGGCAGGGAGGGGGGCACCCAGGACAATGTCCAAGCTGGGGGCCCCACTGCTCTGCTCCGTAGCTGCAGCTGTCTTTCTACTCCACCCTGAGAAGGCTCAGGCCGGGATCCGATCTGCGGGCCATAGAACTGAGGGGCTCAGAGTCGCAACTCTCCGCCCAGCCCCATGCTGACCCCATGGCTTGAACGATCTGAAGAATCTGGCTGGGCAAATCATTCCAGGGAGCAGTTTCAGAAAAGCTGGTTTTGCTGGTTGGGTAAATCCAAAGACCAAGCAATTGAACTGTCCACTGTGTAACAAGGGGCCACAGGTGGGAGGATGACAAGGTTAGATTTCAGATAGATCCCCTGGCTGCCATACACAGGACAGATTGGAAGGGGACACTGGGGCCAGGTGCCTCAGAAGTAACCAGCCTGGGAAGGGCACGTGTGGGGAGGCCCAGGTTGAGGCTATAAGGGGAGGAGGAGTCCCCCAAGGGCCCTGGCCTCTGCCACAGCTCAGAGATCATCCAAACCTTCTGTCTACTCCCAGAAAACAAGAAGCCTGCGGAACTGCTCCGGGACATGGCACAAGTCGTGACTGGCTAGCTTCCAGCTCATCTACCTCCCTCCTGAGCCAGAACCAGGGCCTCTGGGACCCAGATGGGCACGGTATTGGGAGACAGTTCCCAACAGAGAGAAATGGCGGCAGCAGCAGCTTTCCAAATACTGTTTACTTCACTAAAACCTGGAGCAAGGCAGGGAAAAGGTACGCCAAAGTCTGAGACACCAAGCCTAGGAGTGCACGTTGACAACGGCGACATAGAGGGCCAAGGTGCTGAGGGCCAGCAGCCCCGTTACCACTGCCCGGGCCAGCAGGGCTGTCCAGCTGCCCAGCGAGCAGAGGTGGACAAAGGTCCTGCGGAAAAATGTCACAATGAGGGAGGGAGAAAAGAATAGATAACCCACCCCCTCTGGACCCAGCCACAAACCCCACCCAGCTCACTCCATAACAAAGGCCTTGTAGACACTAAGGAACATCAGCAGGAGGACAGCCGGCCGGAAGGTGTGGTACAGATCATAGCGTGTTATCATCCAGACCTGGGCAGACGCGACGATGTAATGGACCTGGAGGGAGGCAGAAAGTCGGGGCCATGCCTTGGGAAGGACTATGGCCACCAGCAGAAATGTGTGTAGGCGAGAGCAGGACTGCGTACCAGACTGATGTTGGAGTCTATGCTCATCTGGATGTACTTCCAGTCAAACTCAATGCCCCGCGCTCCGACCCATAAGGGAATGCAGCTGAGGAAGGCAAAGGACGGGATTCTCTAGTACCCAGACACCCTCAGCACCAAGCTCTAAGCCCCTGCCCTCCAGCACCCCCATGGAACCCAGGTGTCCCTTCTCAGGGGTCTGGGCTCCAGGCTGCTGCACGCACCGGGACATAATAAGCTCGGCGGTGGCCCAGCCTAGGGCAGCAACCATGATCTTGTACTCCCCCTTGCCGGCATTCCGGGACATGACAAGGTTTAGGCCTATCAGGTCGGCCACATCCACGCTGGCCTTCATGAACTCCTGAGGGTCAGGTTGAAGCTTAAGTAAGCACAAGGAACAAGGAGCCCCACTCCTGCACTCCCTCCCCTTCTCCGGCCCCTCTCACCCCAATGAAGTCATAGATGCCGCCTTCCCAGGTGGGAAAGAAGGTGGCCAAGAACAGCATCTGAGAACAGAAAGCAGAAAGAGGTCACTTCAAGGTGAGGGGATCACGATCAACCACGCGGATTTTGTGGAAGTTCGTTTGTATGAGGAGGGCAGGACAGGTTCAGGGGACCCATCTGGAAGAGGAACCACCAGATGACTGCAAGATTACAGGCATGGGAGAGATACAGGATAGGTTGCCGGGTCCTCGAGGGGGCTGGAAGTTTAAGTTCTGGGTGATCATAGGGCATCTGAGTCAGGTCTGAACCTGCTGCTCCTTGGGCAGTGTTAGCAGCACGTGGAGAATCAGTGAACACTCTTAACTGCACCAAAAAAACCTCTTAGCCAAGCACACTACTGAGGTTTTCTCAATTTTAGTAAGTGCTACGCAAAAGTTGCTTCTAGGCCTCTTTTCAGGTCGTGCCCTCTTTAAAGTCCATTCTCTCTAGGTATCCCGACATCATCCCATTGCAGAGTCCCGAGGGCGGTCCCACCATCGGGGATACGCAACGGGGGCGAGTCCCTGGGTCTGCAGAGGCTAGGGGCCAGACACGTGGGGTCTCGACTGCCCTCACCTTGCAGAGCTGCACAAAGAGGTAGGTGACTCCAGCCTGGACGCATTTCCAGAAGGCGTTGTACTCTGACCTGGAGAAGCGGGCGGTGAGGGTCGGCCCGGGCCCCGCACCCTCTCCGCCCCGCGCCCTTCCCGCACTCACAGGCCGCTGCACTTGTACGTGATGAAGTAAGGGAAGTACGCCAGAGCGAAGCAGTTCCCGAAGTGAAACAGGGTCATGACGCCGGCCGCCCGGTCCCGCCAGCGCGGGGACAGCGAGGCGGCGTCTCCCGGAGCGGGTCTCCGGCTCCGCCGGCGCTTTCGCCGCGGTCAGGGCCTGGAGCCCACCTGACTGGCCGCGGCCCGCGCGCGGCCTTCTGGGAGCCGTAGTCCCGGCGCGGGGCGTCGCGCCCAGTGACGTCAGAGCGCCCGTGGCCGGCCCTGGTTCAAAGCGCTCCCGGCCCAGCGCTGTTGGGAGCGACTTTCGGCTTTGCGGGGTTTCCCCTGCTGCCACCGCTGTCCCAGTGTCCCTAAGTGGAACCCGGCTTGGAGTCGAGCGCGACCCCTCGCCTGTGGTCGCAGGCGATGGAGTAAGTGTGAGGTGGGCCTTAAACCCGAATCAGAACCCGCCGTCACCGGCGGCAGAGATGCGGGACGCAACTGTGAGCACTGTTCTTTATTTCACCATGGCCTCAGCGGCGTGGGGCGCCCACCCCGGGTGCCCTTCCTCCCCCGGAGAGCCGGAGAGCCAGAGAGCCGGATCCTGGAACGGGAGGCACAGGTTCCGGCCCTGGCCCCTGGGAGGGAAAGAAAGGACCTTCCCGCTTTACTTGTCTCGGCTAAACATGTGGCGGAGGAGGTCGACCACTCGGTGACTGTAGCCATATTCGTTGTCGTACCTGTGGAGGAGGGGTCGGGAGGTTCAAGGGGGTCCCTTCCGACCATCCCTTAGTTCCCCTCCTACTGAGTCTCCAGCCCTTTCTCCCTTACCATGAAATGAGCTTCACGAAATTGTCATTGAGCGCAATGCCGGCCTTAGCATCGAAGATGGACGAGCGGGTATCACCGAGGAAGTCCGTAGAGACGACCTGAGTGTCCGAATTTCAAAGATAAGTGTGGGCGGCAGAGTAAGGACATCCAGGAATTCAGGTCCCAACTCTTAGGCACATCGTGCATCCATGCATTCATCTACAATATGTGATGTAGCCCTACCGTGTCCAGTCTCTAGGACAAGGTATGACAAAGGCAGATGGGTGCTCTGCCTGTTGGGGTCTGGCCATTGGGCACAGGTCACAAACACCCTCATGCTGTACGCATATATCCCTTTCCTAGGCATAATGCAGGCATTTGGAATGGGCTCGCATGGAGGGGGCTCTCTGAGAGGTGGCTATGAGTGGGGTCTGGATGACTAGGAAGATCTGGCTGCCTCCAGCCCTCAGCACAAGTGTCTCAGGTGGAAGGAGCTGCAGGAATGGAGGACCTGAGGGTTTTAGCCCTAGTGTCATGAAAGGCCACAGGAGTGTTTTCACTCCTGAAAACGTTTATAATGTGATTTCACTAAAACGAACCATCCTGGTGACTGTGGTATAGTGGAGCTGCAGGAGTGAATGTAGGGAGACAGCACCAAGGTGGACGTGCAGGGGTCCACCATGACCACGACATCTACTTCTCATAGAGAAGTCACCTGGTCATGGCCTGGCCTCACGTGAGTATTGAAAAAAATGGCAGCTGTTGCCTTCTGTTCACTAAGCATATATTAGTCACCTGCTGTATGCCATACTAGAGCCACAAAAGTGAAAACACAGCCCCTAAATCCCTGTTTTCTTGGATTGCAAACGCCACTGAGACCAACAGTGACTATAAAATGAAATTTCTGGTGAGGAATAGGCCCACAAAAAGAATATCTTTTGAGGTGTGGCTTGCTGAAGAGGGAGACTGAAGTAGAGACTTGGAGGAATTGAGGACAGACTGATCACTCGGGGGACAAACATTCCAGATGGAAGGAACAGTAAGTGCAAAGGCCCTGAGGCAGGGAGGTCTCCCCATCCTGCAGTTTCTGTCTTGGCACATTGAGAGCAGCTCCCTGGCAAGTGGAAATCGTGTCCCCTGCCCAGAGGATTCTTCCCAGGGTCTCCCTCGCTCAGCACCTACCTCATCCTCTGTGTAGCCAAGGATGCCAGCCATGGGCCCCTTGGCTGCTGCTTTTACAACCTCCTTGATGGCTGAGTAGGGGGCTGGCTGAGCGAGGCGGCAGGTCAGGTCCACGACAGACACATCCGGGGTTGGTACCCGGAACGCCATCCCTGTCAGCTTCCTGGAGAATCCCCCATGAGGGGCAGGAGTCAGAACTTAGGGACACCACCCTCCATTTCCCCTTGCCCTGAGACTGGGCCAGGCCCCTGCTTTCCCCTTAAGGACTGAGGCCCAGTCCAGTGGTCCCAATGTGTGCCCCAACACTGGTTGCAGCTTCTGGTCCTCATACCCTTTGAGTGCTGGGATGACTTTGGTCACGGCTTTGGCAGCCCCAGTGGAGGCTGGGATGATGTTCTGGTGGGCACCCCGTCCATCTCGCCAGGCCTTCCTTGATGGCCCGTCCACCGTCTTCTGGGTGGCTGTGTAGGAATGGACTGTGGTCTTGGGGAAGAAGAGGACCATGATGAGGCCTTCATGCTCCTAAGCTCCCATGCCTCTTTTTTCCAGGACTAGGGTGGTGGCCTAGGTGTGGAGGCTGGTGGGGCCACCACCACAGATCACGGGAGGGGCATGTGCAGGCCAGGGTCCAGCCTTGCCTGAGGGTTGACTTCGGCACTGGTGGGCCTCTCCTCCCCAAACCAGCTTCTCCCTCTTAACTCCATACACTAAGCAAGGCCCTGGAAGAAGAGGTTGGGTTTCCCTGCCCTCCTTCCTGCCCCAGCCCCTCAACTCACCATCAACCCTTCCACAATCCCAAAGTGCTCGTGGATGACCTTGGCAAGGGGGGCCAGGCAGTTGGTGGTGCAGGACGCGTTGCTGAAACAGCCAAGGTGTGCATGGGCACTTTGAGGTAAGACGCAGCGCTGCCCTCCACCCTTACCCCTCTTGTGAAACGTCACCATGAGGATGAGAGGGATTGGTGGGGACGCTGTCAGACTAAAGGAGGCTGGGGAGGCTCCCCAAGCTTGTCCTCCAGAAGTCACGCATTTTTAGCAGATAGTTTGGGGAAGGAGAAGGAGAAACCAACTGACTAGGAATCCAGTGGGGCTGAGGGTGGGAAGGACGAGTCTACCCTCTCTTCCACAGCCTGGCGTGTCCTCGGGCACCACCCACACACTGCAGGATGTCGCTGCCCCCCTTACCTGACAATGTTCATGGAGCCAGGGTTATAGTCATTTTCGTTCACACCCATGACGAATGTTGGTGCATCCGGCGAGGGCGCAGAGATGACCACGCGTTGAGCACCTGCTGAGATGTGGTCCTGGGGAGGAGGCGCAGGTGTCAGGTGCTTCTGGCGCCATTGTCCCCCTAGCTGGCCCTGGGCATGCCTCCCCCGCTTACCGAAGCTGCCTCTATGGAGAGGTACACGCCTGTGGACTCCACCACGTAGGGGCTCCCAACAGCCCTCCAGGGGATCTGTTTGGGCTCCTTGCTGCGGGGTAGTGGCAGGGCTGAGTCAGTCTCTCCTGCGTGGGCCCCACCTTCAGAGTCCACAGCCTTCACCAGTTGAAAGGCTGAGCATGCGCCTTCCTGCAGGTGCCGGCCCGCCTACAACCACCTGGGTCCCCCACCCCACACACCTACCTGCCCCAGATGGATCGCACCCTGCTGGCCTTGCTTTTCACCACTGCCCTGCTTCAGACCACTTTCCCTGTGTTGATTGCACCACCCCTGCTATGCCTGGGTACTGGCAGTGACCTCCCCAACTCAGCCCTCAACTTCCTCAGAGGCACCAACCCTAACTGGTACCAGCCAGCTCAGACCCTTTCTTCATACACTGCCCAGGACGTGGACTCTGTGACCATGAGGCCTGCCCAGCTGCTTTCTGGCCCCCAGCGTTGAAAACCTTGTCATGAACCCTCCTGGACCCTCAGATCTTGCAATAGGAAGCTGGCTGCCAAAGGCCAGGAGAGTCTCTGAAAACAGACACTGCATTAAAGAAAACGCTCCTGGAGGAAGCCTGAAGCCTGAGGCAGCCTTGGGCCAGCAGTGGCTCCTGGTTTACATTAGAAAAGGGAGGTTTGGGGATTCTTGTTTTCTAAATTTACGTTTTTACTTGGCATTTTGACACATGTTTGTATTTGAAACATACTGAACATCTAGTATTGCTGTTTTCTACTTGGCTTTAGCAACAAGCATTAAGTGAATAAACTATTCCGCTCTCTTCCTTCCCGGGTTTATCATGAGTAACCGGGTGCTTTGCTTCTGTGATTCTCGGCTAGTGTTGGTCTGTTTCCATTGCCGTTGATCCTGCTTTCCTCAATGGGGGAGTTCAATCAGTGTTTGTGGTTGGTTGGTTTTGAGACAGGGTCTTCCCCTCGCCCAGGCTGGAGTGGTGGTGCAGTCACACAGCTCACTGTAGCCTTGATCTTCCTGGCTCAAGCCATCCTCCTGCCTTGGCCTCCCAAGTAGCTGGGACTACAGGCTCACACCACCATGCCCAGCTAATTTTTAAATTTTTTTTGTAGAGATGGAGTCTCACTTTTGTTGCCCAGGGTGCTTTAGAACTCCTGGGCTCAAGTGATGCTTGGTTTCCCGCAAGTGTTGGGATTATAGGCATGAGCCACTGTGCCTGGCTTCATGGTTTTTTGTTTGTTTGTTTTGTTTTTTTTCAGGCAGAATATCACTCTGTCACCCAGGCTGGAGTGCAGTGGCACGATTTTGACTCACTGCAACCTCTGCCTTCCGGGTTCAAGCAATTCTCCTGCCTCGGCCTCCTGAGTAGCTGGGATTATAGGGGTGCGCCACATGGCCAGCTAGTTTTTCGTATGTGCATTTTTAGTGGAGACGGGGTTTCGCCATGTTGGCCAGGCTGGTCTCAAACTCCTGACTTCCTCCCACTTCAGCCTCCCAAAGTGCTGGGATTATAGGCATGAGCCACTGTACCTGATCTCATGGTTTTTTTTTTTGTTTTGTTTTTTAGTTAGCCATTTTATACATGTTTACTGAACATTTGCCCTGTGCCCATATTCTAAGTGCCTTACATGTATTAAACTTATGTACCCTTCACAACCCAAGGAGGAAGTGCTATCCCTGTCAGGGCAGAGGGGAGGGGAGTGTGGCAGAGCCTGCTGGATTGCAGGCAGGCTGGCCTCACCTTGGGTCTGCACTCTTGGCTCCACTGCCTGAATGAATGAATGAATGGGCTGCCCCGCAAGGCCATAGCACATGGTTATCCTCTTCCTGTCAGTCCACTTTCCATCATCTAGCCCAACTAGCTCTTCTCAGATACCTCCTATTTCCCACCTTCCAAATTAGGGACACTGCCTTCCAAATTAGGACCGCAATTGCTGAGTTGGCCTGAGGCAAACAGTGTGTCCCAGAAGACCCCAGGCCCTCGCCTGTCATGGGCCCCAGCCTCTTGCCCACTGGGCTGTTTTGAGGATTCCATTCATTCATTCAAAGGAAGTTCTAAATGTCTACCAGGGCCTGTACCTGCTAATGCCAGAGCAAAGGGTGGCACCAGTTGACAGAGCCCTCCTTGCAAGGACATGGCCTTGTGGGAAGTGCCCCTTTAAGTGTCCACAAACAAGTGTTCACTCCATTTGTGCCTGCAGCTACCGCTGTGGTGGGTTTGCTCATCATCCCCATCAGCTACAGGGCAGAATTGAGGCTCAGGCAAGTTTGGTCCCTTGCCCAAGGTCACCCAGCTAGCAGCAGTGGCGTGGGGTGGAGCAGGGCGGAGTGCAGGCACACCACCTGGCTTGTGCAGCCCAACAGTGCAGGGATGGAGAGAGGACTGGGGAGGGGGACCCCATTGCACAAGTGACCAAAGAAGGGAGCACCTGAGTGGGGGTGGGGACAGAGGGGGCAGCTAGGTGGGGAAGGGGGATAGCTACAAGTGGCAGGAATGGGGGTGGCCACATTGAAGTCTGCGTGATGACTACAATGCTGGAGTTGTTTTTGGTGTCATGATTTCAAACTTGGGTTAAGCAGCTTTCTTCCATTTTCACTGACTCTCCAGCCTCTGTGCCCCCACCCATAAACTTCCTGCACCCATCCCTGCCCCTTTATCACTCACTCTACCCCCAGTAAGTACAAAGAGAAGGGCTGACATTAGATCTGTGGGCAGGGGTGCTAGGGACCCCCGCCTGGGCCTGGACAGGGTTCTCTAGTGTGCCTGCGTGTATGTGCATGTGTGGGTGTGTGTGTAAAAGCCCCAGGCAGCCACAGAGCCAGAGTGGCTAACAGTTTACATTAGAAAGATGAATGTCAGACAAAAATAAAATTCTAAGCCCCCCACAACTAACTGAATTCAGCCCTTCTCTTGGCCCAGGGCATTCTAAATAAACTCGAAACACTTGTTCAGGCTGTGATGGGAACTGGTGCTCGCACAAGCCTCATTATACCTTCCTCCCTTTGGAGGAATTCAGCTACAGTTGACCAGCAGTGGCCAATGGGTGCTGAGTAAGTGTGGAGTTGAAGGGGAAGCAAGAGTTGAGTTCTGGACATGTTGAAATGCCTAAGAGAAAACGTGCAAATGATCGTTAAAGCAAAAGCATTCTAGGCAGGACGTGATGGCTCATGCCTGTAATTCCAACATTCTGGGAGGCCAAGGTGGGAGGATTGCTTGGGGCCAGGAGTTTGAGATCAGCCTGGGCAAAATGGCCTCTACAAAAAATTAGCCAGGTCTGGTAGCTTGTGCCAACTACTTGGGAGGCTGAGGTGGGAGGATCACTTGAGCCCAGGAGGTCAAGGTTGCGGTGAGCTATGATCACACCACTGCACTCCAGCCTGGGCAAGACAGTGATACCCCGTCTGTAAAATAAATAAATAAATAAATAAAAAGAAAAATCGTTCTTGAGTACAGTGAGGCATCTTTTAGGATTAGTGCTTCTTAACCATTTTGGGGGTGAAGGACCTGAGACTCCCCTCTTCTAATCAGTACCTAGAGGCATGCACATGCAATTTTGGGGGTGGTTTCAGAACCCCAGGTGAGAGGCTGGAATCATATTTTAGCCACCTCCACATCCCCTGCCTCAGTATGTCAGGGCTGTGCATCAGACAGATGCTCTTCTTACCATTGGTAGACAGAGATCGCATGGTTGTCCACGACCAGCTGTCCATTCCTGAATTCCACACTCCCCTTGTATCGGCCGTGGGTGGAGTCATACTTAAACATGTACACCTGTGGGGGATGAAGCGGCTTCTAGTCCTGGGGTGGCAGGGTGAGAATCCCTGGAGTCTCCCCTTTGGTGAAGGTCTCACATTACAGCTGAGAGCCCTCCATACAGCTCCCCTGAACCCCCTTCTCACCCCAGTCCCACCCTGCTGTTCTCGCCCTCTGCCTGCTACTGACCATGTATTCTGGGTCAATGAATGGATCGTTCACAGCCACAACCTTAACACCCTTCTCCATGCAGGCACGCAGCACCAGGCGACCGATGCGTCCAAATCTGGCCAGGGACAGACAGAGGAAGGGGTGGGAAAGATGGGGTAATGGAGAGGAGGCTCCCTCAAGGGAAACCTTAATCCAGGGGAAGAAGGCAACCACCTCTCTGCGCAGGCCACAGTCATCTCTTGCCAAGATGACCTCACCAGCTCCTTCACCTCTCCTGATCCATTCCCTAACCCCATTCCTTCTTTTTTCTTTTTTCTTTTTTTTTTTTTTTGAGACGGAATCTAGCTCTTTTGCTCAGGCTGGAGTGCAGTGACATTATCTCAGCTCATTGCGACCTCTCCCTCCTGGGTTCAAGTGATTCCCCTACCTCAGCCTCTCAAGTAGCTGGGACTACAGGCGCATACAACCACACCTCGATCATTTTTGTATTTTTAATAGAGATGGGGTTTCACCATGTTGGCCAGGCTGGTCTCAAACTCGTGACCCCAAGTTGATAAACCTGCATCAGCCTCTCAAAGTGTTGGGATTACTGTTGTGAGCCACTGCTGTGCCTGATCCCTAACTCCTATTTTTAACCTTGTAGCTGAGGTTTTTTTATTTAAATTTTTTTTTTTTTTTTTTTTTTTTAAGAGACAGGGCCTTGCTATTTTGCCCATTCTGGTCTCAAATTCCTGGTCTCAAAGGATTTTCCTGCCTCAGTCTCCCAAAGTGCTGGGTTTACAGGTGTGAGCCTGGATGTATCTTTTAAAACTTCAAGACAGGCCGGGCGCGGTGGCTCAAGCCTGTAATCTTAGCACTTTGGGAGGCTGAGGCAGGTGGATCACGAGGTCAAGAGATCGAGACCATCCTGGTCAACATGGCGAAACCCTGTCTCTACTAAAAACACAAAAAATTAGCTGGGCATGGTGGCGCATGCCTGTAATCCCAGCTACTCAGGAGGCTGAGGCAGGAGAATTGCTTGAATCCAGGAGATGGAGGTTGCGGTGAGCCGAGATCGCGCCATTGCACTCCAGCCTGGGTAACAAGAGCGAAACTCCGTCTCAAAAAAAAAGAACTTCAAGACTTCAAGACAGATTACGTCTCTTGGCATGAAAATATCCACGACTGTCCATCAGTGAAACAAGATCCACATTCCTTACTGTGGTGTAGCAGCATCTCTTGGGTTTCCCACCAGCCTCCCTCCTCTTCCCCTTTGCTTGGTGGACACCAGCCACTCTGACATCCTGGCTGTCCCTGAACACACTAAGCTCGCCTCGCCCCAGAGTCACTGCTTGTCTCGCTGCCTGGAAGACTCCTTCCCCAGCAAGGTGCCCTGGAACCTGGCTGCCTCTCTTCACTCTGGCCTTATTCCAATGTCACCTTCTCCCCGAGGCCTTCCCTGACCACTGGCGAAGACTGCCGTCTCCAGCCTTACCTTTCCGCTGGCTTCTACACTGTTCAAAACACTACTGCATAATCTCATTTCTTTGATTACTGTCTTCCTCGCCAGAATGTGGGCTGAGGGCGGGGCCCCATCTGACTTACTCTGGGCTATTTCTCCAGGGTTGTTGGAATGAAAGCATTGATGCGGGGAAAGGTGGAGGTGCCCCCAGTTAGCAGCCAGAGGAGGGGCTGGGCTCTAAGACTTCAGACTGACTGGGGGCTGCAGTAGACTCACCCATTGATGCCCACAGTCAGCTCTCGGGCCACAATCTGAGGAGGAGGAGTAGCAGGGCGAGGAGGAGGAGGCGGCGGTGGTGGTGGCGGTGGCTTTATTTCCTCCTTGACTGGTGTGGGCTCTGGTTGTGGCGGGGGCTCTACTTCAGCCTTGGGCTCAGGTGGGGGCGGTGCTCTGGTGACTGTGCAGGGGAAGGGAGGGAATGGGTTGCTTGACCACCAAAGTGAAAAAGAATGAACTGTCTTTGCTGCCCAGAATCTGTTACAGGCTCCTGGCCCCTGGCCTCTAGTGACCAACTGTTTAGCCCCGTGTTTCCCAAACCCACTTTCTCTACAGAATAAACTTGTTTAAAATATCACTGCCAGGGGCCCTTCCCCGGAGATTCTAATTAAATGGATATGTACTTTCAATATAGATTGCTTGCAGTGACATTGTCCGTGCCTCAGTTTCCTCCTCTGTAAGGAGAGAGAAAAGTACTTTTCTTGGCCGGGCGCAGTGGCTCAAGCCTGTAATCTCAGCACTTTGGGAGGCCGAGGTGGGTGGATCACGAAGTTGAGAGATCAAGACCATCCTGGTCAACATGGTGAAACCCCGTCTCTACTAAAAATACAAAAAATTAGCTGGGCATGGTGGCTTGTGTCTGTAATCCCAGCTACTCAGGAGGCTGAGGCAGGAGAATTGCCTGAACCCAGGAGGCGGAGGTTGCGGTGAGCCGAGATCGCGCCATTGCACTCCAGCCTGAGTAACAAGAGCAAAACTCCGTCTCAAAAAAAAAAAAAAGTACTTTTCTTAGGGGGTCGTGAGAATTAAATAAGGTAATATTTGGAGTGCTTATGACCGAGCCCAGGAAACATTTGACATGCATTATTAGTATTTTGGAGATTGTTCTTTAAACTTGTCTGATAACTGATTTAGCCTAGCGGTCCCCAAACAGTTCTGATAGGAATCACCTGGGTGGCCGGATGTGGTGGCTCACGCCTGTTATCTCAGCACTTTGGGAGGCCAAGGCAGGAGGATCACTTGAGGTCAGAGTTCAAGACCAGCCTGGCCAACATGGAGAAACTGCGTTCTCTACTAAAAAATACTGTAATCCCAGCTCCTCATGGGACTGAGGCAAGAGAATCTCTTGAACCTGGGAGGCAGAAGTTGCAGTGAGCTGAGATCCCACCACTGCACTCCAGCCTGGGTGACAGAGCAGAACTCTGTCTCAAAAAAAAAAAAAAAAAAAAAAAAAGAATCACCTGAGGAGGCCTCTTAGAAAAATCAGACTCAGTAGGTCTGTACGGAGGCCCAGGAATCCTGTTTTTAATAAGCACTCCAAGCATTTCTTATCCCCAGGAAAGCTTAGAGAGTACTGTGTGTCATACTCTGTGTAGCCCATGGGAAGCACATATTGGCTCCCGCCTCTCCACACACTTCCACTCCCAGACTGCACTTAAATGCACCGCGCCTGGAGGTGCGCTTCCACCTGAGCTACAGAGGCGGGCTTGAGAAGAAGGGAGAAGTGGAGACTCCAGGGACCTGGTGGCAGAGAGTTTCAAGCTGGAAACTAAGCCTGGCTCAGTCCACAGACACCTGCTGCGGTGTGGACTTGGGCAAGTTAATGAACCTCTCGGGGCTGATCCTCCATCTAGGGGCTGCTGTGAGGGCTCAGTGAGATCTCAAGGCACATACATAGGAGCTGATTTCAATAGAAGAGGGAAGTCTGATCCTCCTCTATTAAAATGAGGATAGGGAGACAGCAGGGAGTAGAAAGGGGCTGGAGGGGGACAGTGGGAGTCCAAGTTTTAGCACCAAATCAAAGGCACCTGGGAGGTGGTGGGTCTGGGAGCTGGGGGCCAGCCGGCCTGTCTCCCTGACCTCTCGCTGGTGCCACAGACCTTGTGGCCTGAGGCTGGATGATGGGTGTTTCCAGTGGCTGTCCAGGTTTATGAAGGTGTTAGTGTTTATTGGTGAACCTGGGGATGTTTGCATCCCTGGGGTTGTTTCTGCTATTGGGGAAGGGGACTTGCCCCCCTGGCTAAGAGTGGGAATCTGAGCCCAGTGGGTGACCTTTTGGAAGAAAACTGAGGTCCTCCTCTCCCAGCATCCCCAGCCTTACACTCTCTTTCCCTCCACTGTAGGGGTGGGGTTCCTGGGTTGGAGAAAAGCCTGGGGGTCAGCTGGGTGCTTTGTGGAGCTCCTTACTGCGTCCTCCCACTGAATCCCGAGAGGCATGCGCTATAAACCCACTTTACAGAGGGGAAATGAAGCCAGAGGCCACGAAGCAGTGATGCGCAGGGCAGGCGTTCAAGTCCCGTGGCTGTTAAGCCCGTCTGCTTCTTTGTCTTTCAGGGTCTCTTGGACCCAAGCCCCGTCCCACTCCAGCCCTACCTACTCCTGAGGCCCCAAATGTGGGAAGTGGGGGAACAGCATGGGAGTTGGGGCAGCCCACTCGAAAGACCTGGTTCCTCTGACTAGAGTGAGTGAGTGAACAAGTGTGTGTGTGTGCCACCGTTGTTGAGAAACTAAGGAAGTGGTTTGCCCTCTCGTAACCTCTGTTGGCCGCTCTGTGAACTGCAGACACACACTGGCCTTCCCAGGTGGTGGTGAGGCTTCCCTGAGCGCTGGCCTGCGAAGTGGTCAGCAGTCCCCAGCAGGTTGCAAGTGCCCTTGCTTTGTGCATCACAGGGAGGGCAAAACCCATCTCACACGAAGCGCCTTGAACATTACTTTTACATGGAAGCCCAGCCCACCCACACCCAGTTCTCCATAAGCCACTCCTAAGCCCGACTGCTTCCCGCCACCCTCAGGCTGCAGCCTCCGATGCACACCCACTTCTGCCCTTTCCACGGCGGATGTGGAGGGACAGACCCCCGGCCCCTGGATGGTGCACATGCCAGGAAGGGCAGTGGGGATGCGGCATTGGTTTGAGGGTGCGGATGCTTCCCACCATGCTTTCCACCCACTCCGTGTCCCTGCTGCCTCCCTCACCTGGGCATGGCTGTCGCAGCAACTGGACAACGGTGACATTGGTGAGGACGATGTCACGTTTCGACATGGCTTCTTATAAAGTTATCATGGCCTGGCTGCCCCGGGACCTTCCGTGAGGTTACTGAGGTGAGTGCAGGGTGGCAGGACTGGTGGCTCCTGGGTCCTTTGCCATGATGTCACAGTGCCCAGTGAAGTCACAATACCCAGTGACATCACCGAGGAGGCGGTGCCCAGGCCAGAGGCCACAGACCACCGCATCCCATCCCAGTAGGGGCGTGGGACGTCAACACGCTGTGCACCACCGTTCCATGGCCATGCACTGCCTCTGGAATGGAATCCCACTTTTAAAAATTATCTTTTGTGGCTGGGCACAGTGGCTCATGCCTGTAATCCCAACTCTTTGGGAGGCCAAGGTGGGAGTATCACTTGAGCTCAAAAGTTTGAGACCAACATGGGCACTGTGGTAAAACCCCATATCTACAAAAAATAAAAAAGTTAGCTGGGTATGGTGGTACATACCTTTTGTCCTAGGGGGAGGCTGGGATGGCAGGATCAGTTGAGCCTGGGAGGTCAAGGCTGCAGTGAGCTATGATTGAATCACTGCACTCCAGCCTGGGCAACAGAGCAAGACCTTGTCTGAAAAACAGAAAAAGGTGTTTGCCCAGTAAACTATACTGAATGCATAAATGTCAATTCCTCAGGATTCTTCTGATGGCCAATCTTTTTTCTTTCTTTCTTTCTTTTTGAGACAGAGTTTCGCTCTTGTTGCCCGGCTAGAGTGCAGTAGCGTGATCTCAGCTCACTGCAACCTCTGCCTCCCGGGTTCAAGCGATTCTCCTGCCTCAGCCTCCTGAGTTGCTGAGACTACAGGTGCCTACCACTACACCTGGCTAATTTTTTTCTTTTTTTAAGTAGAGTTGGGAGTTTCACCATATTGGCCAGGCTGGTCTTGAACTCCTGACCTCAGGCGATCCACCTGCCTTGGCCTCCCAAAATGCTGGGATTACAGGGGTAAGCCACCTCGCCTGGCCCTGATCCCAACCTTATCGCACCCTCATAACTTCTGGCAGCACTAATTCTTTTCCTTGTAGCTTTTCATGTAGTTTGTTGTGATCTATTGATCGGTTTATTTGTCTGATGTCGCCCCCTTGGGCTGTAAGCCCCTACAGGGCTTGTGTTCTTGTCTGTCTGTTCACGACTGTTCCTCCAGCACTTAGAACAACACAAAGCACGCGTTTTCAATAAACATCTGGGGAAGAACAAGTGGACAAACAGCTCCCTCCCCTGCAGCCCCGGGGTAGGGGTTTGCTTATGAAGAGGGAGACCCAGGCATCTCAGATCAACTTTCCCTTTTCTTTTCATTCCTAAGATTGTAAACTGAAACGCTTTTCACTCCTAAGATCCTAAACTTCCCCTTTTCATTCCTAAGATCATAAACTGAAACCCTTTTCATATGTAATTCAGACTGTAAACAGAGACCCTTTTCATATGTTAAGCTATAAACCTAAGATTCTTCCTGTAACATCTAAAGTATAAGCCTATATAAAGAAGGAACCTTCCTTTGTCTAGGGGAGCTTGGATATTAGGCAAATATGCCACCTGGCTCCCAGTCCCAATAAACTCCTTCCCGAGGCCACTCCTGCAACACTTGCACCTTGGTGACTCACAGGCAGGTACCCTCACCTGCATGACAGGTTGACACGCAGCTGTGACCAAGGTTCGGGGGAGTGGGGGTTTGCTCCAGGAAGGAGTCACCATCCCAGAGAGGGGTGGATGCAAGAAGGGCAGAATGATATAACCTCTTCCTTCCGCCAGCATCCATGGGAAATTCGTTTGCCAAGAACCTGGCACGGGAGTGGGGCAGGATGAGGCTCTCCTGCTTCCATGGCCTGGGAGAAGAACCGAAAGTAAACTAGGTGTATAGGTGAGGAGGTTTTTTTTTTTGAGACGGAGTTTCGCTCTTGTTACCCAGGCTGGAGTGCAATGGCGCGATCTCGGCTCACTGCAACCTCTGCCTCCCGGGTTCAGGCAATTCTCCTGCCTCAGCATCCTGAGTAGCTAGGATTACAGGCACGCACCATGCCCAGCTAATTTTTTGTATTTTTTAGTAGAGATGGGGTTTCACCATGTTGACCAGGATGGTCTCAATCTCTTGACCTCGTGATCCACCCGCCTCGGCCTCCCAAAGTGCTAGGATTACAGGCTTGAGCCACCGCGCCCTGCAGGTGAGGAGGTTTTAATTAACCCAGACCAAAACACAGACGATTAATTCAACAAAGGAGCTACATTTTGGTGTACAAGCAAAGAGGGGAAAAAATACAGCATCAACAAAACCAGGATTAAAAAGGGGCTGATTCCAGCTGGGCGTGGTGGCTTATGCCTGTAATCCCAGCACTTTGGGAGGCTGAGGCAAGTGGATGCCTTGAGGTCAGGAGTTCGAGACCAGCCTGGCTAGCATGGATGGTAAAACCCCATTTCTACTAAAAATACAAAAATAGCTAGGCATGGCGGCATGCACCTGTAATCCTAGCTACTCAGGAGGCTGAGGCACAAGAATTGCTTGAACCTGGGAGGCAGAGGTTGCGGTGAGTTGAGATTGTGCCACTGCACTCCAGCCTGGAGTCTCACTTCAGTCGCAACAAAGTGAGACTCCATAAAGAAAAAAAAAGGACAACTCCAGGCCATTCTCAGTCATGGAGACAGTTGTCAAAGTCCTGAAATGAATCATGGCACATGGGAATGGAGAGACACATGGGTGGAGACGGGTAGAGAAGATGGAACATAGTTCAAAGCGGGAGAAACCCCATCTTTTGGTCCCCAGGTGGGTTAGGATTCTGACACTCATCACCCACTCTTCTCTGCCCAGCCACCTCCTAGCAAGGGAAACTCCATCATTTCAGCCCTGGACCAGGGCAGAAGAATCACACCTGAGTTTGCCCAGGAATTTGGCTATTTCCTTGGAGTGTGAAACCAGGAAACAGATTTGATGAGTTCAAGCTTCTAGAGGTGGCACAATTACTCACCCTGTATAGGCAGAGCTCAGAGAAGGCAGAAGCTCCTGGGTATCTGTCCTGGGATTCCTGCCTTTGGGTGGAGTCAAGTGTCCAGGAGCTGGGGAGGAACCCCGGGTCCTCTGAGGGGAGTGGGCCTTGGTGCCCTTGTTTGAGCAAAGCCTGAAAACACGTGCAGATTCTCGCCACACCTGGGCACCCACACACATAGCTCTGCCACCCCCGGTGGCTCACACCCTGCACATTCCTTCCTCCCTGGCCTTCCCAGGAGCAATCCCACCTCCGCCCCTCTCAGTCTCTCCCTTTGGCACCAAAACCCAAATATCTTTCACCCCTGCACCCACAGTAACTACCTCCTGGCTCTCGTTCTTCTGGTCTTAGCCTCCCTCCGAACTGGCTCCTAGATCCATCTGCTGCTCCAAGCCTGCCCACCACCACCTGCCCTTCCTTCCGCCCCTTTTCATCCCCGAGGCCAGACTCTCAGCTGTTCACTCTCCAACCAAGCCAATATGTGGACACTTGGGGCTTCAGGTTGGGGCTTAGGAGGCCCCATGCGGGGAGGGCAGGAAGGATGAGTGCCTGGCCCCAGCCCAGGTTTTGGCTCACAGGCTCCTGCTGCCCCGGGTCTTCAGTCCCTCCCTGTGGCTGCCTCAACCGGCTTTTCAGGAGACACTGCGTCCTGTTCCAGCTCATGGCAATCAGCCCCCTGCCCATGCCCAAGGGCTGGGAGGCAGAAGGTCTGGGTTCTGTGACAGGAATGGGATCCTACCTCCAAAATATGTGACACTCCCCAAGGGACCCTATGCTACTCTGGCGACCCAGGCACCCTTCCCTTCGGCACCCTGTGAGACCCAGGCTTGGGCTTGGAGTCTCTTCCCTCAGCTTCTTCAAACCTATCCATTTGTCCAGTCAATACATACTTACTGAACCCCAGGCAGTGTTCAAGCTGCTAGGAATACAGCAGTGACCAATATGACCAATTTACATTCCTGCTAGGTGAGACAAGCAATAAAAAATAAAGGTAATTTCAGATTTTTTTTTTTTTTGCTATGAAAACAGAAGGGTGATACTACAGAGTGTAATTAATGCCATGTTATGGTCAGGGGAGGTTTTCTTGAGAAGGTGGCATTTAAGTCAAGTACAGATGAGGAGGAGCCAGCCATGTGAAGGCCTGGGTTCTGCATTCTAGGCAGAGAGAGGAGCACGTGCGAAGGCCCTGCAGCAGAAATGAGCCTGGCGTGTTTGTGGAACGGGGAGAAGGCCTGTGTGGCTGGAATGGAATGAGTGAGGGGCAGGGGCCGGCCCAGAAGAACGAGGTCTGACGACTCCCTCAATCCCCCTAGGATTCTCCCCTCTCCCGACAGTGCCTCCCATCATTCTAGCCCCTCATTGCTGGAGGAGGAGGAGGCTTAGATGCCTGAGAGGAGCGCCGTGTTGAAGAATCACCTGCATCCCAGGGATGGAGAGTGGTGGAAGGTGGATTTGAGAGAGGAGGCCTGGACAGTGGGTGAGGAATGAAAAGAGGAGGTGGTTGGAAGGGCAGACACTCATCTCTGGGGTGGAGGGCAAGGAGCAAAGATGCCAGAGTCCTTCTCTATCCATGACTCACCCTCTTTTCCTCCTCCTCTTCATTGCTCAACTCTAAATCTCCCTGGGAAACACCTCCTTGACTGAGGACCAAGTCAGTGCCTCAAAGGGGTAATTGAGTCATGAGGGGTGGAGAAGAGGGAGAATTAGATAAATACCAGCGTGGCTTCCCCGGCTCCTCTCTGCATCCTCCCCCACCTTCCCAGCAATATGCATCTCGCACGTCTGGTCAGCTCCTGCTCCCTCCTTCTGCTATTGGGGGCCCTGCCTGGATGGGCAGCCAGCGATGACCCCATTGAGAAGGTCATTGAAGGGATCAACCGAGGGCTGAGCAATGCAGAGAGAGAGGTGGGCAAGGCCCTGGAAGGCATTAACAATGGAATCACGCATGCTGGAAGGGAAGTGGAGAAGGTTTTCAATGGACTTAGCAACATGGGGAGCCAGCCCGGCAAGGAGTTGGACAAAGGCGTCCAGGGGCTCAACCACGGCATGGACAAGGTAGCTCATGAGATCAACCATGGTATCGGACAAGCAGGAAAGGAAGCAGAGAAGTTTGCCCATGGGGTCAACAACGCTGCTGGACAGGTTGGGAAGGAGGCAGACAAACTGATACACCACGGGGTCCATCACGGGGCCAACCTGGCAGGAAATGAGGCAGGGCGGTTCAGCCAGGGGGCCCACCACGCTGCGGGGCAGGCTGGAAACGAGGCTGGGAGGCTGGGCCAGGGGGCCCACCACGCTGCGGGGCAGGCCGGAAACGAGGCTGGGAGGCTGGGCCTGGGGGCCCACCACGCTGCGGGGCAGGCCGGAAACGAGGCTGGGAGGCTGGGCCAGGGGGTCCACCACGCTGCGGGGCAGGCCGGAAACGAGGCTGGGAGGCTGGGCCAGGGGGTCCACCACGCTGCGGGGCAGGCCGGAAACGAGGCTGGGAGGCTGGGCCAGGGGGCCCACCACGCTGCGGGGCAGGCCGGAAACGAAGCTGGGAGGCTGGGCCTGGGGGCCCACCACGCTGCGGGGCAGGCCGGAAACGAGGCTGGGAGGCTGGGCCAGGGGGCCCACCACGCTGCGGGGCATGCCGGAAACGAGGCTGGGAGGCTGGGCCAGGGGATCTATCATGGGCTCAATGAGGGCTGGAAGGAGACAGGGAAGTTTGGGCAGGGGATCCAGCATGCTGCCAGTCAGGCTGGGAAGGACGCAGAGAAGTTGGGGCAGGGGATCCAGCATGCTGCCAGTCAGTTTGGGAAGGAGGCAGAGAAGTTCGGCCAGGGGGTTCACCATGCTGCCTCACAGGTGGGGAAGGAGGGTAACAGAATAGTCCAAGGCCTCCATCATGGCGTTAGTCAGGCTGGAAGGGAGGCGGGGCAGTTTGGCCACAACATTCACTATGCAGCAGGGCAGGGTGGGAAAGAGGGGGACATGGCAATCCATGGTGTCCAACCTGGGGTCAACCAGGCCGGGAAGGAGGCGGGGCAGTTTGGCCAGGGAGTTCATCATACCCTTGAACAGGCTGGAAGGGAAGCAGACAAAGCTGTCCAGGGGTTCCAACCTGGGGTCAACCAGGCCGGGAAGGAGACAGGGCAGTTTGGCCAGGGAGTTCATCATACCCTTGAACAGGCTGGAAAGGAAGCAGACAAAGCTGTCCAGGGGTTCCACACTGGGGTCAACCAGGCCGGGAAGGAGGTGGAGCAGTTTGGCCAGGGAGTTCATCATACTCTTGAACAGGCTGGAAAGGAAGCAGACAAAGCTGTCCAGGGGTTCCAACCTGGGGTCAACCAGGCCGGGAAGGAGACAGGGCAGTTTGGCCAGGGAGTTCATCATACTCTTGAACAGGCTGGAAAGGAAGCAGACAAAGCTGTCCAGGGGTTCCAACCTGGGGTCAACCAGGCCGGGAAGGAGACAGGGCAGTTTGGCCAGGGAGTTCATCATACTCTTGAACAGGCTGGAAGGGAAGCAGACAAAGCTGTCCAGGGGTTCCACACTGGGGTCAACCAGGCGGGGAAGGAGGCGGGGCAGTTTGGCCAGGGAGTTCATCATACCCTTGAACAGGCTGGAAGGGAAGCAGACAAAGCTGTCCAGGGGTTCCACACTGGGGTCAACCAGGCCGGGAAGGAAGCAGAGAAACTTGGCCAAGGGGTCAACCATGCTGCTGACCAGGCCGGAAAGGAAGTGGAGAAGCTTGGCCAAGGTGCCCAACATGCTGCTGGCCAGGCCGGGAAGGAGCAGCAGAATGTTCATAATGGGGTCAACCAAGCCAGCAAGGAGCAGCTGCTGAATGTAGGTGAACAGGGATGGGGAAATGGGGGACGGGGGGTTGGGGGGAGGGAAAGGTTAAACCCCTGGGACATTTGGGGGGCGTCCATGTAGCCTTTGTTTGGTGAAAGCTTGGGCAGCTGTTATCACTGTGCTCCTCCCCATTCCCCATCTCCCTTACAAAGGAGCTGGTGGCAGCTAGTCAGAAGGAGTGAGCCACCTTATCTGCAAAGCACGTATCAGACAAGGTGGTGGGCACCCTGTCCCACCTTCAGGGAGCTGCCCTCCTGGTTAAGGGGGCCTCAAGTGGGGACTGGGAAGTGCCTCCTGGGGAACAGGAAACAGTTCCTGAGATCAAGATCCAGTACAGTGCAAAGGGACTGAGTGTTGAGAAAACCCAGTTAGGAGAAGGAGCATGAGGAGTAGCTTGTGGAGATGAGCCCTGGCCTCAGTAATCTTCATAACAACCCTCTGACGTAGTTAAGATGAGGCTGCTGACGCCCTGATGCCCAGATAAGGAAATGGAGGCTCAGAAAGGTTAGGAGACCTGCCAAGGTCCTGGGCTAGTGCCCAGCTTTGCAGAGGGCAGGCCAGGGTTCTCTTTCCCTACCTTGCCTGGCCGTGAGAGGTTTTCCGGAAGGTTCCTCTCACTCATTTATGTAGAGGGAACAGAGGCCGGGTGCAGTGGCTCATACCTGTAATTCCAGCACTTTGGGAGGCCAAGGCAGCCTGGATCACTTGAGGTCAGGAGTTCAAGAGCAGCCTGGTCAACTTGGTGAAACCCCATCTCTACTAAAAATACAAAAATTACCTGGCTGTGGTGGCAGGCGCCTGTAATCCCAGCTACTCAGGAGGCTGAGTCAGGAGACTTGCTTGAACTTGCGAAGTGGAGGTTGCAGTGAGCCAAGATCATACCACCGCACTCTAGCCTGGGCAATAGTGAGACTCCGTTTCAATAAATAAATAAATAAATAAAATAAGTAGACGGAACAGAGACTGGAGGCAGGCAACTAGCACCACTTACAACAGAACAGGCACCAAGGAGGGAGTGTGGGGAGCAGGAGATGGTGGACCCCTGTAAGCCCCCACTCTCCAGCGATCCGCAAGACGTGACTGGCTTGGACCTGGAAGCCCAGAGCCACATCTGCCGCCAGACAGAGCCAGGGATGGGTGGGTGGGGAGGAACAGTGCAGTAGAGGAGTGGGCACAGCAGGCTGCAGGATTTGGGGCTGGCAACAGCAGCTGGGGGTTAGGGTGCTGCTGACATGCATGGCTGAGTGAGTGTCTGGGGCTGGGTTAAAGACAGTGATCAGCGTCGTTAAGGATGCAGCTAGACAGGGCATAGAAAGGTAGATTTCAGGTCAGGGCTGAGGTTAAACTAAGGTCCTGATAGTCACGTGGGTCCCCTACCTTCCCTTTCCACCAGGCCCCTCCTCAGTGACTAAGGGCACTTGGTTAAGGAAATGAAAAGCGGCTTTGGGAAGGAAAAGGCAGCAGGAGGCAGAATGCCCAGTGAGGAGGCAGTGGGTTAAGCTGCACCTCCCACCCTAGCTCCAGTCAACCTGGAGGGGGCCAGGTCACTGGAGAAAAGGAATGGGGAGACCCCCCACACTGCTCCCCGCAGGATTGAGGGGTTGTAACAAGAGTCTGGGCTTTGTCCACAGGGCAACCATCATGGCGGATCTTCCGGCCATCAAGGAGGGGCCGCAACCACGCCGTTAGCCTCTGGGGTAAGTGCGGACCCCAGGGTAGGGGAGAGGAGGCCCCTGGGAGCCCCCCCAGCATGGCTGTGGGTCAGATGCTGGAGACTGACCTTCTTGTCCTTGAATTGCAGGCCTCGGTCAACACGCCTTTCATCAACCTTCCCGCTCTGTGGAGGGTGAGTGCCACACTGTGTCTCCTTCCTGCTCTGCGTCCTGACAGATACTCTAACCCTGACCCCTTCCCTTTGTCTGTTTGGACAACTCCCCCGAGACCAGACTTGCAGCCTCTGCAGAGACCCTCCAACCTGATTCTCAGCCCTGGGCTTCCCTCTCTCCACTCGCTCCCTCCCCTTCACACCCTGCCCTCATCTTTTGGGTGCTTTGCATTTCCACTGAGGCAAACACAAGCTGGCAGAAGAGACCTCCGGGCCCAGGTGCCCCTGGGAGCCAGGGAGGGAGGAGGGTGGTTGGCTGTTCTCATTCCCTCTCTCCCTGTCCTTGTTCCTCGGTTCCCATTTGCTGACTGGTTTCCCTCCTGTCCCCACTCTGCTGCAAATGCCTCTGCTCCATGCTGGGAGGGGGAACCTGTGGCTTTGTCCTCTCCCTGGTGTGACGTCACCCCAGTGTAGAGGCTCCTGTGGAATCCTGGTTCCCACCTGGGGCTCAAAGTAACCTCCTGACTCTCTTTCTTTATTTTAATTTATTGATACTATATCGAGTCTCACTCTGTCTCCTAGGCTGGAGTGCAGTGGCACAATCTCAGCTCACTGCATCCTCTGCCTCCTGGGTTCAAGCAATTCTTCTGCCTCAGCCTCCTGAGTAGCTGGGATTACAGGCGCCTGCCACCATGCCCAGCTAATTTTTTTTTTTTTTTTTGAGACGGAGTTTCGCTCTTGTTACCCAGGCTGGAGTGCAATGGCGCGATCTCGGCTCACCGCAACCTCCGCCTCCTGGGTTCAGGCAATTCTCCTGCCTCAGCCTCCTGAGTAGCTGGGATTATAGGCACGTGCCACCATGCCCAGCTAATTTTTTGTATTTTTAGTAGAGACGGGGTTTCACCATGTTGACCAGGTTGGTCTTGATCTCTCGACCTTGTGATCCACCCGCCTCAGCCTCCCAAAGTGCTGGGATTACAGGCTTGAGCCACCGCGCCCGGCTTAATTTTTATATTTTTAGTAGAGACAGAGCTTCACCATGTTGACCAGGCTGGTCTCAAACTCCTGACCTCAAGTGATCTGCCTGACTTGGCCTCCCAAAGTGCTGGGATTACAGACATGAGCCACTGTGCCTGGCCTCTTTTTTGCCTTTATTCTATTTGCTGCCTGAGACTGGGCACAGGCCAGGGTGAGAGTGTGTCAAGGAGGTGGAAGGCCCACCCTGTGTATCCTGGGCTACAGGGGCAGCAGAGCATCCTCTGAGGCTAAACACATGAGGCTTGTTGGTTCCTGCAGAGGCTCCAGCCCCTCTGCCTGGGAGGGCTGGCTTCCTTGTGCTCTTATGTCTAGATGCTGCCTTCCTGAGCTGTTCCCCAAAACCGAACTCCGGGGCCAGAGCAGCCAGTGCTCCTCGCGCTTCTCCCGTGGGGCAGGGCTGAGGTCTGGCCCACCCCCACTTCACAACTGTGGACCCTGCATTCACCCCTGCTCTCCTTCTCTCTTCTAGGGCATCGCCGACATCATGCCCTAAACTGACACCCCACCTTGCTGGGAGACTAATGCTGCCGTTGTCACATCAGCTGAATGACCTGGAGGGGCTTGGGGTGGGGGACAGGTTTCTGGAGTCCCTGAAGGGGGTCCTACTGGGATTTGTGAATAAACTCGATACACTACGCCGTCTCTTCGTGGTCCCCTGGGCTCCCTAAGGAGGGATGGACAGGGAGGCAGGAGGGGCTTGTCTTTTCTTGTTACTTTGCTGAAGGAGTCGGGTTGTCCGATGCACAGGGTGGGTTGAGCTGGAGATTTTAGACTGATCAGCCACAAGCGGGTAGGTAATGGGGACAAACTATGCTTTGCTGAGGTGCAAAGTTCGTGCTTGCTACTGGCAGGAGGACTTGTGCAGGGAAAACTACCACAGGCCACTGGTGGGACAGCCACGCCAGGAGAGAATGGCCTGGGCCCAGGAGGTAGCATCCTAGTCAGGGGGGTTGGGAGGCCGAAGAATAACAACGGTGACTTGTCTGTATTGTGCAGTTAAGACTTGCCAGGCGGCCTGCGGGAGTGTCACCTGCATGACATCATTGACTCCTCCCACCTGCCCAGTGAGGTAAAAGGCTCTGCTATTGCCCCATTTTATAGAGAAGCATGAGGGGGCTTGCACAGGTTAAGAAACCGGCCAAGTTTACACAGTCAGTAAGTGGAGGGAAACAGTGAAGGGCTACAGAGGATATTCTGGGAAAACAGAGGTCTTTGTCCTTTGGCATCAGCAGGGAGGGGGAACTGGTGAATCAGAAAAGTGAGACAGGGTGGGGGAGGCTCTTGGGAAGGAGGGGGAAGGATGAAAGGCTCAGGGGGAAGACTCGCTGGTGACAGGAGCCACCTGAGTGGAGGGACAGGAGGCCCCATTTTCAGATCCGTGGACCATTCACAGCCGAGGAACAATGATTACAATTACTGAGTACAGAGCACTTGCCAGACTCAAGGTACTGTGTAGAGTTGTTCATATTCTTTTTTTTTTTTTTGAGACAGGGTCTTGCTTTTTCGCCCAGGCTGCAGTGTAGAGCCATAATCATGGCTCTACACTGCAGCCTCAACCTCCTGGGCTCAAGCAGTCCTCTCACCTCAGCCTCCTGAGTAGCTGGAACTACAGGCACGTACCACCACACTTGGCTAATTAATTTTTTTTTTTTTGGCTGGTTATGGTGGCTCATGCCTGTAATCCCAGCACTTCGGGAGGCCGAGGTGGACGGATCACAAGAGCAGGAATTTGAGAGCAGCCTGACCAACATGGGGAAACCCCATCTCTACTAAAAATACACAAAAAGAAAAAAAATTAGTGGGGTGTGGTGGCACATGCCTGTAATCCCAGTTAGGAGGCTGAGGCAGAAGAATTGCTTGAACCCAGGAGGTGGAGGTTGCAGTGAGCCAAGATCGTGCCACTGCACTCCAGCCTGGGCTACAGGGTGAGACTGTCTCAAAAAAAAAAAAAAACTTTTTTTTTTTTTTTTTGAGAGACAGGGCCTCACTATACTGCCCAGGCTGTTCTCAAGCTCCTGGGCTCAAGGGGCTCAAGAGATTCTGCTGCCTCAGCCTCCCAAAGTGGTGGGATTACAGACATGAGCCACTTCGTCTGGCCTGTTCATGTTCTTTAACCATTTAAGTCTCCGATAACCCAAAGACAAAAGCCCTCTTATCGTCACCATTCTATGAATGAGGACGCTGCAGATCAGTGGGAGCAGGGCGCTGGCCGAGAAAGCAGCAGGCCTGGGTCTGGCTCCCTCCGTCACCAGTAGCTGACCTCTCATGGTTGCCCCTGAAGTCTCTGTAACACTCCCGGGCACTCACCTCGGAGCTGGGAGGCTTGCGTTCCAATCAGAAGCAGAGGTCTGAAGGCAGCCTACTTCCACCTCTAGGGCCATGGTTTCCTTCTGTATAAAGGGAGGCAGGGATTCAACAAGTCTTGCTTCCAGCTCCAAAATTCCATTAATTGTGGAACCAAAAATAAGAGACCGTGTTCTTGCCCTGGGGGAATTCACAGCGTTCCTGGGAGGCAAGGTCTGTAAACAGAATATGAATGCAAACGCATGAAGCCCTGTGTCAGTAAGAGCTCAGTGGGGGGGCCCTGCATTTGTACAAAAAATGTGATGCGAGGGACTCCGTGTTTGGGTCCCCTTCCACAAACACTCCCTTCCTGGAAGCCGTCTTTCTCTCTCCTGGATTTCCCCTCTGGAGTCCCCTTCCACACTCTCTCGTGGAAGCCTGCCTTCCCCTCCTAAACTCCATCTCTGTCTATTCCCACTCAGTGTGGAAGCTGCTTTCCTCTCCCGGATTCCATCTTTCTGAATTCTCTCACTCAGTGTGGGAGTTAGCTGTTCCTTTCTCTCTCCTTCTGTTTCTTTCTCTCTAAATAAATCACTTTCTACAACACTTCTTGAGTTTGGCATTTATTGCGCACTGTGCCATGGTCTCCCCTACCCATACTTAGGAAGCAACTGACCAAGAACCTGGAGAAATATCCTCTCAGGGGAACAGAGGGGGTGCCCTTGAACCCCAATATTACATTTTCATGAGCCAGCCAGAAAAGGGGTACAGCCAGGAGAGGGGTACACCAGGAAAGGGATACAGCCAGAGAAAAAAACTTCGAAACTGTGAGTAAAACTGTCCCCATTCTGTCCTGTCTCTTTAAGAACACCTGAAGTGGCTGCAGCCAGGCAGGGCTGCGGGAACCCAAGTGGCGGCACCTCAGAGGCACGACCCAGCCGGTCTTAAGCAGCGTGGCCCTCTTAAGAGGGGTGGGCCAGCCAGAATTAAAAGTGCGGTCTTTTTTACCTCCAAGCTCTCTCTCTGCTTTCCCACTCCTTCTCTATCCTTCAGATATTATCTCTGGGACCAAAACCTGCAGGAGCCTTTGGGGTGGAAAAGGTGAACATCCCCGCTTTCGGTTCCTTCCCCGCCAGCCCCGGGGGCGAAACTGAGCAGGGGCAGACTCCGGCCAGAGAAAAACTACGGGGAGGGGCGAGGTACAGCCCCAGCCTGCAGGGGGCCGGGAGCGCGGCAGCCTGGCGCATGGCTCTGGCAGGGCTCTCCGGTGTTCTCCAGTCCCAGGCAGCAGGGTTCATCCTGGGAAGGACCATTTTTGGTCATTCTGTCTACCCCAACAGCAGTTAAGGTAGTGGAAATTAACTCATGGATTCATCACACTCGACTGAAGCCCTGGCTGCCTGCTGAGGAAAGTCAGAGACTCCCCACTCCACAGCCTGAAGTTCCAGGAGACAACCCTTCATCCACCTGTGAGCCATTAGAAGATCTACATATGCTTTTCCAACAAGATCCTCAGGAAAGCAAACACTCAACCATAAGGTCACAAAATCCTGCCATGGCAACCCCAGGTGTCCTTGGCTCTTGGGCTCTATCGTGGACCTCTAGATCAACTTGCATCCCTAAAGCCTCCCCTCTGGAGGAAATCTCAACTGCAGGGCCCCTTCTACGCCCCATTTCAGCAGGAAGTAGTTAGGGAGGATCCATGCCCGTGTTCCAACAGAAGTTGGGCTTTCCTGTTCAAAGGTGAGGAATGAGGGAAGGTGTTTTTCCAGGGTCCACAGGGGGGCGTAGTTTTAAAGGCAAGCACTTCCCAGCACCATGCCCTCCTCCCATCTCTCTCCGTCCAGGAGATTTAACGGTTTATGTTTAAATTTCATGGGCAAGGGAAGAAACTAAGAGTCAACCACTCCAGCGGAAGTTCTAAGGAACTCCTTTCTTTGGCCAGGGGTCTTAGAGAAGGTGAGGGTTCCTCCCAGGTTAAAAGTCCCCTTCTTCCACACCCCTTCGGACTCCGTGTTTGGGTCCCCTTCCACGAACACTCCCTTCCTGGAAGCCGTCTTTCTCTCTCCTGGATTTCCCCTCTGGAGTCCCCTTCCACACTCTCTCGTGGAAGCCTGCCTTCCCCTCCTAAACTCCATCTCTCTCTCTTCCCAGCTGCTTTCCTCTCCCAGATTCCATCTTTCTGGATTCTCTCACTCAGTGTGGGAGTTAGCTGTTCCCTTCTCTCTCCTTCTCCTGTTTTTCTCTCTCTTTAAATAAAATCACTGTCTACAAAAAAAAAAAAAAAAAAAAAAAAAAAAAAAAAAAAAGTGATGCGCCTCACTTTCTAGTTGCTGCGTTTTTTCTTATTTTGTGGAATACCACCATTTCCTTACATATGCTCCTTCTCTCTCCCTGCAATATTGTATTTTGAAAACATTCCAAACGTCGTGAAAAGATGAAAGAATTTTATAGTGAACACCAGCATTCTCACTACTTATATTTTACCATACTTGCTTGATCACACATCTGTCCATTTAGTCCCATATCACACATTTTTGATGCATTTCAAAGTAAACTGTAAACATGTATTTGCTGCATTTTGTCTTATTTATTTATTTATTTTTGAGACAGAGTCTCACTCTGTCGCCAAGGCTGGAGTGCAGTGGTGTGATCTCTGCTCACTGCAACCTCCACCTCCTGGGTTCATGTGATTCTCCTGACTCAGCCTCCTGAGTAGCTAGGATTCCAGGCATGCACCACCATGCCTGGCTGGTCTCGAACTCCTGACCTCGTGATCCGCCCGCCTCAGCCTCCTAAATTGCTAGGATTATAGGCATGAGCCACCGCACCCGGCCTGTCTTACTTATTTTTTGAGACAGAGTCTTGCTCTGTTGTTCAGGCTGAGTGCAATGTCAGAGTCATGGGTAACTGCAGCCTCAACCTCCTGGGCTCAAGCAGTGCTCCCACCTCCGCCTCCCAAAGTGCTGGGATTACAGGTGTGAGCCACAGCACCCAGCTGCTTGCTGCATTGACATAAATAGAAACTTCCATTCATGTTCAGATACTGATTGAGGGTCTGCTCTGTGCTGGACATAATTTCACAGGTACTGGAGGAGTCCCTACTTAAGGGGATCCTAGAGTGGTGGCTTTTGAAAAAGCAACATTCGAGGGACTCTGCCGACAGGTGCCAGGCTGAAATGCAGTGGCGTGCTCTCGCCTCACTGCAACCTCTGCCTCCCAGGTTCAAGCAAGTCTTCTGCCTCAGCCTCAGCCTCAGCCTGGGACTACAGTCACGTGCCACCACACCCAGCTAATTTTTGTATTTTAGTAGAGATGGGGTTTTACTATGTTGGGCAGGACGGTCTCTATCTCTTGAC